GGGGGGCGGGGGGGGAGGTATGGGCGTGTTGTGGGTGGGAGGCAAATAATGCAGGACGCATTTGTGCATGGTGGTTGGTTGATTTGTACTGAGATGGTTGCTTCAGAGAAGGATGTCAGCTGCCACAACAGACAGAATAAAAGCTGTGTTTGGGATTTTAGAGAAGCGTTTGTCTCTTCTTTCCGGCAAAAAGGGAGCGTTCTGTGGTTCCCGTCACAGGGATTCCGGTCATTAACTCCCGGCTGTTTTAACAAGGCAGCTGCTGTGCTGGACCAGGCCGGCCTGCACGTTTTGGAGGCAGGGGTTTTTCTAGCTTCCTTCTCACCCACCCCTTCCAGTTTGGGCATCCCAGGCCTCTGCCAATGCGCTTCTGCCCCAAATTCTTGGCAGGAGCCTTGAAGCCGCATCCAAGCAATTGGATCTTGGTCAGCTGTGGGTTTTCCTTTTCTTTTTTTAATAGTAATTTTATTGAACATTACAGTTAAAAAGGTAAAAACTAATACAAAATAAAAAAAATTAAAAATATCTTCATGGGGCGCAACTGTACAGAGCACAGGTGGGTGATCCCAAGTCCTCTCCTTGTCTGGAGGGGAATCCTGAAAATCCCTTGGCCCACTCTTCATTCCACCACGGCCGTCGGCTTCAGTTCACCGTTTCTTCTCCAGAAGTCTGGTCAGCTGTGAATTTTCCATGCATGGCCATGGGATCTCCTGGAATACAACTCTTAAGAGATCTTTCTGCTGTGGGAACCAAACAGGCTCCCTGATTGCTTGGACTCAGCCGCTGCTCCTTCCCTGGTGGCTGAGTTTTACCTGAAGGGCAGGGAGGTTCAGCACCTGGCTGGTTGCTCACCTGTTCTTGACAACAAAACACAGGGCTTTGAGGTGCAGGGAAAACAATCCTTGGGGCGCCCTCTTTGCAACCTGTCTTAGCTTGCCCCCTTCTGCCCCTCCTGATGCTGGCTGGTACGCCTAGGTTGCAACAAAGAGAACCTGGAGTCCCAGCAGGCAGTTAGGAGACGTGGGCACAGCCCTGGCACTTTGCCCCCTTTGGGGGAATGGCAGTGTTTGCTTTTGTAAGGAGATGGCGCTTGGCTGGAAGGAGGGCTTTGACTTGGCAAAGGTGCCATATGGCACCACCCCCATGTCTTCTCAAGCCATCCGGGCCTACTTCTAAGAAACCCTATCGGTCAGCCCTTCGAGGCAGGCCGGGTCAAGGCACAGACACCCGCAAGGATGCCAGGAATGCGGGATAGAATAACAGACTCTTGAAAACCTGCTCAAGTTTCTCCCTGCTTCCTTTTATACTAAACAAAATCAAGGCAGGGTTGTTTTTGAATTTTTTTCTCACGCTTCCTTCAGTACCCGAACTGTATAATCTCTTCTCCAAGTCTCTCAACAGCTCTTTCTTGCCTTCCCTAAGATCAGCTCTCAATTCCTTTACAAATGATCCGAGCAATCGGATCCTACAATTGAAGTATGTGTGAAGGTCCAACCCGCATCTCATGCTTGGTGGCCAGTTTGGGACACAACACTTCTAAAGGTTCAGACAAAGAAGAACAACCCAGAGCGGGGTTTTTCAACCTTGGCAACTTTAAGACGTGTGGACTTCAACTCCCAGAATTCCCCAGCCAG